CCCCTGACTCTTTCACAATAAATTGGCGTCTCGTGCTTCTTATCTATATGCATATAACCTGATATCTTTTATTTTTTTTAAATATACGTACTTTTGTTTTATGTACACTCGGTATATACGGTGATATCCTTTACCAATTTATACATGTTGTTTTAATATAACAAGTTTTGAAGTTGATAAAATATAAGAAAAAATAATTTTGTGTTTATATCCTTACAAAAAAGTAATCAAGTTTAAATTAAAAACTTACCAATTTATTGTTCGTCTAGAGATTACGCCTTGCTATTACGTAATTTATCTATGTATTATATAAAAACTCTTATGTACGTATTGTACAACGCATAGTTTAACCTTGAAGAACGTACACGGATGATTTACAAACTATCGACATGACCAGGAAGTATATTACAATTATATTTACATCCGCTGATTATTTTCTCCTTTATTTCTTAAGAAAACCCATTGCGGTTATCACTGCATGAACTGCATTAGGCATGTCGCCAGTACAGATTTCTTGATCAATAGCTCTTCCATCAATGAAACGTATAAAGACGTTCGCATTATTAATACAATAATTAATCTTTTTTAATCCTACTTTAAATGATTACTTAAACAGATATAAATATAAACAATAAAATGTCTTTTTTCGTTTGTTATTACTGGAATGAACGGTCGCAGCTATTGCAGAAAAAAAATACATAACCCGCTTACGCGACAGCTGCTTCCGTTCATTCCAGTTATAACAAACAAAGAAAGCGTTTTATTTTTTAAACAAATACTTGGGAAGTGCAATTTCTTGTGCAATATTAGCCGCATTGATAATCTGCAAATGAAAAAAAAAACAATGTTAAAAAATCAAGTTAGTTATTGATCATCTGCAAAGTGTAGATTGGCTTATTTTGTTTAGGGATTTTATAAAGAGTATTGATTAAAAATAAGCTCCTGTAATTTCTAAATTGTAAATTTCGAGTGGTCATATAAGTATACCCATTTCCCTACATATTTCTTATTAGAATATATTTTATAGTAGAATGTAGATATAATTTATTCTAAAATAAATAATGCTCATATATATTGATAAGAGGAAGACGAAACCCCAATGAGTCAAATATTATTAATCAATGAAGTACATGCTTGCAGGGAGTACTTGTAGTACTGCTATACTTGTATGTTATCAAAAATTAGGTTCATATCCATTTGTGAACTCGATACATACATATTCAGTGATGAATTGAAGACACCACAGATTACTGTACAACTGTTCCATATTTAGACAAACTCATCGGTTTTGTCAGTATCTGTTCAGATGTGTGCCGAGTGGTACAAATTGAACATCAACATTAACAAAACTTTGTTTCACTATGTGTGTCAAATTTGTTCAACTTTTGTTTCTAATATCGAACATTTGAGAAAATATTAACTTCATATCTGTGTTCATGCGCTTTAAAACAATCATTTAAGTATAATAGGTTGTCGATCTGTTTAGCAAAACATAAATAAAAATAAAAACCGTGCAATACTTTATTATAACATTAAAATGAATGAGAAAAATGTTTTTAATAACAGTGATATCTTACCAAATCCCGATTGTCATAGATAGTTAGCATGTGTTGGACATTACAAATTTGGAAATATTTTTGAATGATTGATAAAAAATTAAGATAAATTGTCAGAGTTGTATTGTTTACTCTATATTACTCCTACTATTCTGTTCGGAACCTTTTATTTTTCGGTGGTCTGCAAATTATAAAACCAAATGAGTTCAGAGAAGCTCTGGCGTGGCTCTGACAAGAGTTAGCGAGACTGCGGCGAGATAGGGTAAATTATTCAAGGAAATGTGGCTAGAAGTGAATGGCACGTGGAGACATGGTAAACAGTAAACCTATGTTGCTTTTTAGTTTTCACCACCCTACAAAATCTGTGGAAATGTACTTCAATCGATCTCTCTTGAATTCATTCAAACGTAGATAATGTATTCTATATGGTAAATTTTCCGCAGTCATGCATGAATTAAAAATTCTGTTTGGTCAAATATTTTTGCATGAGAACCGGGAGTAGGGACTTTATTTTTTGGCGTCCGATTAGTATTACTGTGGCACCAACATGACTTTAACTGACAGATCAGCTAAATGAGAATTACATTGTGGGTTACTATACGAATACTACAAGAGTTTTACACTTTAAAAAAGGAAAACCTTAAGGCTTTCGGAATGGTCAATGGCAATTTTTATCATCAATTTCGTAAATGTGTAAATTACAGGTGACGTAAATATAGTTAACAATGACGACCATAGATCACTTATTTTAAAAGGTTCTTGATATAGGGAACCCCGATCTTTCGTAAATATTATGGATTCTGTTGAAAATTTTGCCAGACGATGGGCAAGATATGAAAAAGAAGACGTTGACACAATTTCAGAATGGATTAAATGTATCAGATCCATGTTAAAGTCGCATATTAAAAGATTGAAGGGCAATATGAAACCATCTATCCTTCTGTGTTCAATAATCCAGAAGTTAAAACGAATTAGATATATTACATCATCAGTACTTGGTGGTCCCTGCCGACAAAGCAGGTAACAATATTGTCTTCGTTTGTAAGGCTCATTATATAAATTGTATTTTAGAAGAACTTGCATTTAATTCTACAAATGGTAATTCTTCTTATACTCATACTTCCAGCTCTAAGGAAGAAATTTTTCAAAACCATATGTCAGTTTTAGATATTTTCAATATTCCACAAAGCCAAAATGTATTTGAACTACCCTATATATTGGATTCCAAAACTTCATAAAATAATTACAAAGATACATTGCGGGTTCCAGTAAATGTTCAACCAAGCCTCTTTCTCTCACTCCTCCATTGCACCGGATCCCACCTCTGATGTTTCGGAGGTCCTTGTTTGCTATGCTCCTATTTTGTATCGTTTGTAGGACTTTTGATCTTTAATACTATTTGTTAAATTCAAATGTTTCATTACTAAACCCATATCATTACTCCTTATATATCAAAGTATTGAAAGAACTGAAAGCCGGGCATTAATTGTTTAAGTATTATCTGATCTGAATTTTTTTTTTTGTATCAATACTTTGATATTGAAACTGTTCGTTATCTGGATATCCTTCTTTGAAAATACCATACAATTCATTTATTATATACGGCGGAAGGAAAGGTTTCTTAAAGTCAAACAGCTAAGCGATTTGCGTCTGTTAACTCCTTTGTTGTACTATCGATGAATACAATTGTCAGGCGAAAAGCCCGGCCAAAAGACGTGGTACACGAGTATAGTTAAGTATGTCTTGTTCATTTAAATGCATAGGGGATACTGCCTATTTGCTTTAATCTTGAGGCGCTGGTGTTCTGAACTTGACATTTTAAAACAACCTATTTTTCTAGCTAACAATAAAAAGAGATGAAGCAGATGTTGGAGATTCCGTGCAATGTCTTACAAACTGATGACAAAAATCAGAATTAGTTCTTATCCTCTTTAATTGGGAAGAGGTGGGATGGACCTTTTTTTTTGCATTTTTGTTGCAAGATTTACAATCATAATGGCATTTCTATGTAATTGCTAAAAATAAAATTTCAACAAATCATGGTCCTTCAGCAGACTCTGAATTCCTGGTATTATCTGGCACAATCCGAATGTCCGAATGTCCGACCTAATGTCCGAAAACTACAAGCATGTAAATGTTGCCCATGAGAAACACAGCAATTTATTTCAACCTCAGAATACTTATGTAGAATTCAGAGTGAACAAGCTAATTCAGAGAATTCGTGTCCCCCGCTTAGGGAAAAAGTCGGATCCCCCTGACTGAATTTGTAGAATTATTAAATGTATACATGTATACTGAAGCAAATAAAATACATGAATGTCAATATGCGTATAAAGATTTGATTGCTTTTTCTTTATTATGTGTATAGAAGATTCTTTTTATATGGAATATTTATCACACTGTAATGATGATTTTATAACCATGATAACCTCATAAATTATTCTTTTTCCCATGCTGAATACTATTATTTAAAAAAAAGAAAAGTTAAAAAAAAAAAATAAAAAAGGGATCGTCCGAGATTCGATCCCGGGACCTCTCAAATGTAAAGCGGGAGACATACCACTAGACCACGGAATCGCTTTTAATGAAGTCAAGTATATGCAGAAGTGAAGTCACATACATGTATATATTCATGTTCGGTATTGTCAAAATTTTACACAATCCATGGTGTTTGATTTATTTAACCTTTATTAAACAGTTCTAATAGATGTAATAAGAACATAAAGTCCGCCGAGAACCTGTTTTATACGCAATAACTCTCCGCATGCCCCTGTGCTAAAAATAGCGACAGGTTATACGATAAAACGGGGCGGGGGACTTTGAGAGGGGTGAGAGAGGTCCTAGAGAGTTTTGGTATAAAATTACATTACATAAGCTCAAAATCTTCTTGACATATCGCCCGGAAATGATAGTGTTACACTCAGACAGAATGTATAAATTTACGACCTTGAACTTTGACCTTTTGACCTCAAAATCAATAGGGGTCTTCCTTAGGCCAATGGGAGTTGTTATGTTAAATTTCATTGCAATAGCTCAAATGGTTCTAGAGATATCGTGTGAAAACGAAATGTTATAACAGACAGAATTTGCTTATTTATGACCTTGACTTTTTACCTTTTGACCTCAAAATCAATAGGGGTCTTCTTTAGGCCACAGGGAGTTGCTATGCTAAATTTCATTGCAAAAGCTCAAAGGGTTCTCGAGATATCTTGTGGAAACGAAAGCGTTACAGACAGACAGAAAGACGGACGGACGGACAGACGGACGGACGGACAAACCCAAATTAATATCCCCCACTTTTCAAGCGGGAGACAATTAAATATTTTAAAACCAGTGCCTAATACCACTGTTCATATGCCATGTATTCAGCGCAACAAAATATACAAATCAGTCAGCGTGAGATAAAAAAGAATATTTTATTTAAGAAAATTACAATATGCAATTTGTAAATCAGTCATATAAAATTGAATACTAGTACATTTGCTACATCAGATATATTTCGCTTTTTTTTATTCTTTTGAACTTTTAAAACAACGTCCACGTTCTATAAATGCTACATATATTTTAATGTTTCAAATATTTTTTAAATAATGAAATGTTTTGTAAAGTAATCAACCAAACCATTAATCTACTGAAAAAGAAAACACAACATTCTTTATGTCATCAAATTATATAGCATTAACAAAATGACAATTTTATTTTATCATTCGGTTTTCATTTCACCTAAAGTATCGTGAAGAATTCGTTGAATGCTTTCATCTTTTGTATTTTTTATATAATCGAAAAGTATTTCTTCTGAAATTTTCAATTTATTTCTATATGTTTTAGACAAAAGATGCTTTACGAGGCGTGTATTGCAATGATCCATTGCAATACGAAGAACCGACCATCCTTGCTTCGTCTTTCCAGACAGATCTGCTTCGTAACCAAACAGAATATCAACGATTTCCTCCTCACTCCCATCCCCTTTCCTCTCAACCCCGATATAGTGAGCAGCCATCCACCATTGATTTGTTGTCTTCTTATTTATTAGGTCTCGTTTCTGGGGATCTTTATAAAATGCCTCAGCCACATATCTACAAATGTTTACCTGTTTATGAGTGCATGCTATGTGAAGTACCGTTTTCTCTTCCTTTGTCGGAGATGTAATAATCAAACCCTTTTTCTGCAGTAAAAGAAGAACTTGTAGATTTCCACCCTTGCCAGCATAATGAAGCGCATTCCATTCAAGATCGTCGGTGCATTGCAGGAGATCTTCAAAATTTTCAGTGATAAATTTAACAACTTCAAGATGTCCATACTCACAAGCGATATGTAGAGTTGTCTTCATCGTTTTTGTTTTAGCCAAGATAAAGCTCTCGTTTTTTGATTTTAAAAGCTTTAAAACGTTGACATTATTTGCATAGGCTGCATAATGTGCTATATTCCATCCACACTCATCAAGTTTAATATCTTGTATCATATTTTCATTGTTTATCATGCTTTCACAAAATTCGTATTTGTTCCTCATAACTGCTATATCTAATATATTTAAGCCGTTCTTTGTTTTTGCGTTTAGATGAACATTATTCTGTCTTAGGAAACACAGGATACTTAAATCACCGTGCCATGCAGCCCAGTGAATTGGTTTTATTCCTTGGCATGTACAAGTAGAAATTGAGTTATCCAGTAAAAGGTCCTTGTATTCAATAATTAAGAACTCACACATGTCTTTCTGTTGGTATTTGATTGCGTAGCCAAGAACGGTCTGTCCATGAAAACATTTAATGTCAATTTCTACCTCAGAATTGGTTTTAATAATTTCTTTAAGTATAGCAATAGATCCTCCTTGGGCAGCATAATGCAATAATGTGCATCCTACTTCGTCTCGCTGACAGAAAATTTTATGTTTCTTCTTCTTTTTAATTCTTGTTTCATTAAGGTAACTAAACCCTCTTAATACTCCATTTTTACACTGTCTTTTCAAGAGGAAAAATATTTCTGAATCTTCAACTGCGAAATCGACAAATATAACTTTGTCGTTGTCCACTATAAAACAAAAATCATTTGCATGAATATTCGCATGAATAAATTATCATAAGCACGTGTGTTTAAAATACAAGCATATTCAGTACAATATTCTTAAGGATGTCACCCGTGAAATTTGTTATAACAAGGATATTTTGAGAAGCATGTTTTAGATAAGTACTAATATAGTATGACTCAAAATCGCAGAAAACGTTGGAGACGGGGTCCATGCTCATCTTACATAGCTACAGTACTTAAGTCGACTTCTATGTGCACACTATGATTTTGATTTTGTTACCTTAATCTTGAAGTTTGACATTCTATTTAAACATGTTATATTTCTTTAGACATTTCGATTGGGAATATTTGGGTTTTCATATTTTACACATGCATTAATTGTGGCAAGATATTTCCCAGCATGCTATGATTTCAGACCCCTTGATCTTAACAATTGGCCTTCCTTTCAAAAAACCAAACGTCTACGTCAAGAAAGTAACCCTGATGCTTTGTATTTATAACAAAGAAAGACATAAGTAGTTGGGGCGTGAAACTTTACAATAGCAAAAGCTAAAATATGATCCTTGATTAAGTCTCTTTTTGTGGCAAAATTGCAATATGACTACAACTGTAGGAGTAGCTTTAAATAAACTTTTAAAGAATTTTCAATTTTAGCGAAATAAAAAAAACCCAACAATTATGTAAATTAGTAGTCTACTATATTAAATTATAATTTGACTAAAACTGTATCTGCAGTAGCATTTCTAACGGATTTCACAGAATTTTCTATTTTTAGTAACCACAGCAACGCCGTGCTTCGAAATTAAAAACCGATATATAGAATTATGAACTCCTTGTGTGCAATATAATATCTAATCAGATGAAAACTGTAGGAGGAGTAACATTGCTTAACGGTTTCACAGACATTTCTTTTTAAGTGACCATAGCAACACCATTAATTGAAAATAAGAGTCAATATATAGAATTATGTTCCTTAGTTAGTATACTTGTGTGCCAAGTTATATTGAAATCAGACCAAAAGTGTAGGAGGGGTAGCATTTTGAAAAGAAATCTAAGGACAGAAAGACAGTTGGATAGCTATACAGGCGGCCGGACGACGGACGCATTGCTATTACATAAGCTCTTCTGATCTCTGACCAGTATGGCTAAAATATAACTTAGGTGTTAACCTATGAATGACATATGAAACGATATTCATTTACGACACAATATGCCATAAAAATGACATCTCAATCACAAAGACACTGAAAGCTCGAAACCACAATTCTTAGAATTAGCTTATTTGCTATTTAGATTTTAGACAATTGATCATTCTAGTTTTAAATTGTACACGGCGGGTGTGCTCACTTCTTCACGGCACCTATTCCCATCTCTGATGTTTTGTAGGCTTGTGTTTGCCTTGCTTCTATTTTGTTTTATGGACTTTTGAGCTTGAATACTCTCACATATATGTTATTACATGTAGGCATCGTCTGTTTTTAGATTTCCTAGAAAGTGTTTAATATCTATATTCAATGTATATCGTGCATGGAATAAAACAGGTGTTTATATTCTTACCAGACGTGAACGTCTTTATATCATTTTGACACTTGTTATTTTTTGACGTACTTCCATTTTCCAAATCTGCAGGTGTTTAAAGAAAATAACATGATTAGTACTTAAGTATTTTACAGTCTTCGGGCAATGCATTTATCTTTTATTGTAATTGCTAGAAATTGCATTATGAGAAAATTTTCTATTGTTTCATTGGTTGAAATCATTTTCAATGCAAACAATCCAGAAAAAGAATTTTTTAAAAGGTCCTCATAAAACAAATCTTTAAATGCATTAAAGTCCAGCAATTTTCATTTATGGCTTTATATAAATAATATAGAAAATTGATTTGTATTTGCAATACATGCATTTAGAAGGGTGTATTTATGTTCCTTTTATTTAGAGGCATGTTTTTTGTATCTAAATGTTCATGCAAATAAATCATAGTTCATTGAAAAGAGATCAAATAAATTATTTATAAAATTCCTTGTCTGGTTCTTGCTACGTTAATTAGAATAAATTTTCAACAATAAATAAATTAAATTCCCTATTAGTGTAAGTACTATATTGTTCATTATTTGTTGACATGTCCCTGTAGTAGAAGAATGCACGACTGGTATATTTTTCTATACAAACCTGCACTTTGTTGACCTCCCTTAATATCTCCCCCTGAATCCTTAATTAATGAAGTTGCTTCTGAAAGAGATGTACATTAAAATATTTAATTACGTCTTTCCAAAAGGCGTTTACCACCTTTTCAAAAGTTTTATATGTCTGTCTTATATATTGGCGTACTATGCCTTTCGGAAGGCTAGCATACCTTATTAAATACGCCAAGCCTGCATGATTAACACACCAATAACTTACACAAAAACTTAAGGTCATTGGCAACGCAGGGTTTCCGGAGAAAAAAGGTTTATACCTAGGTTTTTTCATTTATAAAAATAGTCATAGAGAGTGATCTCCCGTATGGAATTCTCTAGGCGGTGAAAACCAATAAAGCGTGTGTTACAGACTGAGAGGTAAACAAAAGCACGTGTGTGTTTTTTAATAAGATATATTCCACTCTACAGTAATAAAAGAATAGCAGATATGGGTTTGTTTACATTGTGCTGAGGGGGCAGACAGTCAACAGGTCGTCATTTAGAATAAGTACATATATGCAAAGAAGTGACATAATTATGTTGAAAGTGGAGATAGGTAGGTAGACCAGATAAGAACGATTCTATAGGTTTTGTGAAGGAGGCGTCATTAAAAGTTATAATAAATCCTTGCCAAAATGTTTAATGACAGTTCCTTTCAAATAAAGTAAATTATAGTATAGAAACAAACAACCAGTCTCTTGATCATTATGAATAATAATTGGATGTTAAGGGAAGTAACTCAAAATCAAAGAATAGTGCTGGTATTTCTGTGTTTTGTTTCTATATTTGCAATTTGAGCCAAAGTATATGTTTGTCATCAGAAATGAAGATTCAACAATGTATTTTATGTATAAACTTTAAAAAATTAATGGGTTTTAGAAAAAACTTATGGTTAAAAATAATGTAGGACCATTTTATCAACATTTTACATAGGTATTGCATTGAGAATTGTAAAAACATTGATTTGACAAAATCTTTAAAGGAAGGCCGGCTTGAGGGGTAAAAAGGACCTGAATTGAACATGTTTTGTACCATTAAATCTGTTCAAAAGTTCTCAAAAAATTCTATACAAAATCCAGAAACGTTGCCAATGTCCTTAAACAGCATTCTTAATGTTGACATGCACATGTCTAAATGGACCCAAAAGGTGTTCATTTTTTTAATATCTCGCTGTCCTATATCTTTTTTTAGGAATCCCTCTAATTCTTTGCCAGATTATTTCAGTATAACATGCTTTGATTTGCGCCGCCATTTTTTTTTTGTCGCTCACTTCATTTCTTGTCTTTTATGCTTTCCCCGCTATGTTGCAATCACTATTGAAATATCGACCACTACTGAAATAATTATATCAATAGTGGTTGAGAGTGCATTTCAATAGCAAACATAGTAAGTTACCACTATTGAAATACACCCACTATTGAAATAATTATATCAATAGGGGTTGAGAGAGCATTTCAATAGCAAACGTGGTTAGTAACCACTATTGAAATACGACCACTATTGAAATAATTATTTCAACAGTGGGATGAGAGTGCATTTCAATAACAAAAAGATAGTTACCACTATTGAAATACGACTACTATTGAAATAATAAGGACATTAAAGGTATTGTGGTAGATAATAAAGAACATAAATTATCTCAGTATGCTGATGACACTTTTCTTGCTTTAGATGGTTCACAAAAATCCCTTTTTGCTGCTCTTGATACCATTGATTTTTATTCAAAACTTTCAGGATTGAAAATTAACATATCAAAAACTAAAATAGTGTGGATTGGATCAAAAAAGTATTCAAAAGAAGTTTTCCATCACACAAGGTGGAAACTAGAATGGGGAACTACAACTTTCAACTTACTAGGAATTCAGTTCTCAGTTCATCTTAAAGAAACTGTTGATATTAATTATGACTTACAACTACCTAAAATAAGAGCTTTGATTAAACAATGGAAGCGAAGAATCCTAACTCCAGTTGGTCGCATAACTGTTGTTAAGACGCTTATCCTACCTAAGCTTAATCATTTATTTATTTCTTTGCCATCTCCTAGAAAACAGCTTTTAGTTGATTTGCAAAAAGATATTTTTGAATTTATATGGAAGTCCAAATCGGATAAGATAAAGCGATCCCTTGTCACACAAGACTATCTTTCTGGAGGTTTAAAAATGGTCAACTTAGACAATTTTATAATTGCTTTAAAATCTTCTTGGATGAAAAGGTTAACTCAAAAACAAAAGCCATGGATGGATTTCTTTTTTGCATTAAATGGAAAAGATGTTATTGAGAAGTTATTTCATTTTGGGGATCTGTTTATTTCAGAGCATTTACTTCCTAAAAACAATTTTTTCTGGCAAGATGTATTAAAATCATGGCTGGAAGTCATGAAGTGTTTAAATAATTGTAAACATGTAAAAAGCAATTTTTTAAATATCCCGGTGTGGTACAATTCTAATATCTTGGTTGGCAAACGGTCTGTTTTTATCAAAAATTGGTATGAGAAGGGTATCAGAGTAATAGGAGATTTTTTAGATAGCGAAGGAAAATTTTTATGCTTTGATTCTTTACAAAAAAGATTTTGCCTCTCACAAACGGATACAAATAAGCAGATTATGCAATATAATAGTGTTCTTACTGCAGTATCAAAATATTTGAAATGTATGTCTATTGACAACCACTTATTCACAAAATCTTACAATACACTTATGCCCTTTTATTATGAATTGTTGTTACAGTCAGAAAAATGCACTAAGCCAATTTACTCCATATTAAACACAAATAATGTTAAACCTACATCTATATCAAAATGGATTTCCATTTTGAGTATCTATGGGCAGTGTAATTTTGAAATACATGATGTTTTTAAAGTTTGTTTTAAAGTAACAAGTGATACAGCTGTTCAATGGCTGCAGTTTAGAATACTGCATAGGATTCTTCCTGTAGGTTACTATCTTAAAAAGATTAATATCAAAACTACTGATTTGTGTACCTTTTGTAAGAATGAAAGTGAAACAATCCAACATGTATTTTTATTTTGTAATAATATTTTGGCATTCTGGAGTAGTCTTAGCCAACATATATATAGAGCTACTTCAAAAAGGGTCGGATTTAACATTAATAATGTTATATTAGGAGAGATTCCTTTGTCAAAAAATAATAGAGCGGTGAATTTTATTATATTATACACTAAACAATATATCTTTACTTGTTTGATGCAGAAGAAAATGCCAAATCTCAGTGCACTCTTATGTCATCTAAGAATCAAATATAATGTTGAAAAATTTGTTTCAATCCAAAAGAATAAAATTGTGTATTTTAATTCTATATGGTCTACATGGAAACCTGTTTTTGAGGAGTGACAGTTCAGATGGCATTCACTATTGTTACTGTCTTCCTTTTTTTTTTTTTTTTTTTTATTTTTTATCCGCATATTTATAAAATAATATATTTATAATTAAGATAATTTATTCACAATGTTATAAGGCGTTGGAGGAATTAGTGACGAATTGAATTTACATTTATTATCTTTTTTTATCTCTCTTTTTTAATATTATCTATAGATGGATAGTGGATAGAGTGAAAGGGTGATTGTGTTTGTGTGTAAGGCATAAATGTAAATATGTTCATCTATCTCTTTGTTTAATATGAGAAAAAATATAAATTAAAAAAAAAAAAAAGGTCTATATGTCTGTCTTATATATTGGCGTACTATGCCTTTCGGAAGGCTAGCATACCTTATTAAATACGCCAAGCCTGCATGATTAACACACCAATAACTTACACAAAAACTTAAACAGCATTCTTAATGTTGACATGCACATGTCTAAATGGACCCAAAAGGTGTTCATTTTTTTAATATCTCGCTGTCCTATATCTTTTTTAAGGAATCCCTCTAATTCTTTGCCAAATTATTTCAGTATAACATGCTTTGATTTGCGCCGCCATTTTTTTTTTGTCGCTCACTTTATTTCTTGTCTTTTATGCTTTCCCCGCTATGTTGCAATCACTATTGAAATAACGACCACTATTGAAATAATTATATCAATAGTGGTTGAGAGTGCATTTCAATAGCAAACATAGTAAGTTACCACTATTGAAATACACCCACTATTGAAATAATTATATCAATAGTGGTTGAGAGAGCATTTCAATAGCAAACGTGGTTAGTAACCACTATTGAAATACGACCACTATTGAAATAATTATTTCAACAGTGGGATGAGAGTGCATTTCAATAACAAAAAGATAGTTACCACTATTGAAATACGACTACTATTGATTGATTCATTGTATATTGTTTAACGTCCCTCTTGAGAATTTTTCACTCATATGGAGACGTCACCGTATGCCGGTGAAGGGCTTCAAATTTAGACCTATACTCGGCACTCAGGGCCACTGAGCAGTGAGGGTTCTTTATCGTGCCAGCGCCTACCGTGACACGGGACCTACGTTTTTAAGGTCATATCCGAAAGACCCGTGACTTTCACTTCTAGTGCCGAGCGCTTGGCGAAGGAACAGTCACTACCTTTGTTTACGTCTCAGGTATGCGACTACTATTGAAATAATTATTTCAATAATGGGTGAAATTCATTTCAATAACAAACATAAGTTGCAACCACTATAGAAATAAAAATTTCAATATGGATTAAATTATTGATTTTGATAGTGCATTGAACAATGAAACCAATATATATTGAAATAATTATTTCAAAAGTTGCTGACGGGGTGAAACTTTTCTTTCAATACTGGTCGTATATCTCAATACTGGTTGAAACCTATGCTTACCATAATGAAATGTACTCTCACCCACTTTTAAATAATTATTTCAATAGAGGTCGTATTTCAATATTGGTTATTACCTATGTTTCATATTGAAATGCACTCTCAACCACTATTGATATAATTATTTCAATAGTGGTTGTATTTCAATAGCGGTTACTAACTGTGTTTGCTATTGAAATGCACTCTCAACCACTGTTGATATAATTATTTCAATAGTGGTCGTATTTCAATAGTGGTTACTAACTATGTTTGCTATTGAAATGCACTCTCAACCACTACTGATATAATTATTTCAATAGTGGTCGTTATTTCAATAGTGGTTGCAACACCGCTATGAAAATGGTTTCCAATATTTGACCATACATTCTACGTTTATTTTTGGACAAGCGTATTTTCTTAGCTTTCACCTTGTAGTAGTATACATTTTTTGCAATCATGGTACATGTATGGCTGACGGAAGTTACATTGGGTCTAGTAATTGAATTCAATATTGCAGAAGTAAATTAATAGGCAACAGCATGTTGTTGTGAAGTTTATTTTAAACCTTTTCAACCAAAAATAAGTTTATTCGGTTGCCAAAGAGCTAACTAAAAATGTTTCCAACCAACCATGACGGTGACGTTGGCGCTTAACACCGTCACATCTACGTCTTTTATATTCAACTCATGACTAACATTACTTACCGATTTCCAATCCTCTCTCTTTATCCCTACTGATATCTGAAAAATATGGTGTATAAGATATATAAATGTTTTGACTTATTTCAATACTTATAACATGATTCCTTTTTGTGGCTCTTTGAAATTAACAATTTCATCCTCGTAATGCAATGTCTTTGCTAATTGACTAACCCTCACAACAATAAACTACCATAATAAGCTATCACTAATTATAGTTAACAGTGAAAACATTGATATTTTAATCGCGGGTGTATGTGGACCCCCCCCCCCTTCTCCTTGATAAAATAGAAACCCAGGGCTTGTTGGATGAAGGATATGGAGATAACAAACAGTTTGCAATATCAAAGTACATAAAACAATACAAAAAGGAACAGAGCAAACACGGACCTCCGAAACATTGGAAGTGGGATCAGGTGCCATGGAGGGGTGAGCAACCCCTGCTGACCGGTCACATCCGCCGTGTGATCCTTGTCATGATCGGGAAATAAGGAAATCCGTCGTCAATTCAGTGTATAAATAATGGAGTAACAGCTTGAAAGACGTCAGTCAGCATTTGTCTCAATGATAAATTGCGTTTGCTGACAAGGTCATTGTATCGACCATAGAATTACGAAATTATGACTTATACTTGTTTCGTCAAATTGTCTGTTAATAATTTAACTCGTTTTAGAAATTGTTCATATTATGTAGAGCAGGCTCTCGCGTATCGAATCAACTGAGATATATACACTCCGTATGCAGGTTATGAAGGTAAATTGCTGCATAAGTAAGGGAAGTTGACGATAAAAAAATTAAAGTCATCACGTTTATCATAAAGCTTGGTTGTTAGATTACCATTAACGTCTTTTTCAAGTAAAATATCCAAGTATGAAACAGATGTGTTAGACTCTGTGGTTTCTTTTATTTCAAGCTCACCAGGATATATCCTATCGACGTCGGAATGGAAATGACCATATTTAATTGAGAATACGTCGTCGATATTTCTTCACTAATTATATTTATGACACTCTTTATTATGTGTACCTTGGGTAAATAGGAGAAAACTCAAAATAATCATTCCTTACAAAAACACCTTTTGAAAATAATGTACATGGAATGATTATTTTGGGTTTCCCGGATTTTGAATATAATTTATTTGACATCTATAATGTAAAAAATTTCAATAAAAATGAGATTCTAAAATTGACATTTTTTGGACTCTTTGTATCCAATAACTCAGAACCAGTACTCGTCTTGCATTATAATTCTAAAAACACTCAAAGCAAGGACCGAAAAGGGGTCTTACCTTAGTGTATTGTCTTTTTCCAAACAAAAGAAAATTTTAAACACGCCTTTATTGTGTTACTTTTTTCACATAATTAAAATGCCTAGCATATAATCCATCATCAGAAAGGACAGGGTGGGTTTGACCGGTCGACAGGTAATGTTTACTCTTCTATTTCACCTGACCCCCTCTCTGATGTTTTAAGGTCTGTGTTTGCTCTGCTTCTAATTTCTTCTTTTAGAGGAGTGTAAAACTTGACAACTGTTCGTTATGTCCATATTTCACAGTGGGTTCTTCGATATGTTTGTCTTTGTTGTGATATGTAACACTTTTATGATATCTTTATATTGAAGAATCTTGATAAAATTACTTACTCATATAAAAATCTTTCAAGCGCTGTTTGATGCAAGTAAACGTCAGGATAACTAAAAGAATAATACAAATAGGAACCATAATAGAGATGCTAAGTATATCGCTGCAGTTTGTTGAGACTGTCTGTTGCGGTTGCATGTGGGTACAAGTGGTATTGCCATGTGTCTGGTCTATCCAAGAACAGTTATAATGCATGTTTTGCGACCTAAAAATAATTTCACAATAATCACATCCTGAATATATATATGAAACTCATATTTTAAGTTTAAAATGTCAAAGAATCATCTTGTTCAAAGTTTCCAGGAGAATCAACATTTATTTTATGATGGCCATAAAGACTTCATCAGTTACTCCCCCCCCCCCCTCCCAAATAAAAATATTCCCTTGTTGATACATATTTATTAAAGAGAGATACATCCTTAAATACACCCACACCCTCTCTCTCTCTCTCTCTCTCTCTCTCTCTCTCTCTCTCTCTCTCTCTCTCTCATCCGCACACTCTTCCACACCTTTACATAGACACCCTCCGATAGAGTTCGCTCTAGGGTAGCGAATAAGGAGTTGATCTTAATATTGCATATGACAATCCTACTTCTAGACTAGTACTTGGAAAGATTTTTTCTTTAGAAGGGAGGAAAATGACATAGTGATACCCGTATGTCCCTTTATGTATAACGATGATAAAAATTGGGGAGTCGTAGTTCCCTACAACCAAGACAATATCCCCGGCTTCCTCTCAAGAAATAGTCCAATGACATACTTTAACTGTATGTTTATAATTACGCAACCATTTATAGTTATCTTTCATTAAAATTTCAAGCATATGCATATATACATATAAACTCACTTTCCTTTCGAAATTTGTTCCTCTTGGCATATTAAGTCGGTCGAGAAACAGCCAAAAACTACCATCAAACAAGCTGGATCTGTAGTGTAAAAGCGTAAGGAAAAGGTAAAGCAGCGATTATTTAGTATTCTCATCTGACAGAAAATCACAAAATGTATATCATTTTAGACTTACAATAAAAAATTTCATTGCTGTAATATGTTTTGTCGGGACAACCGCATGTAAAATTACTGCACTTGACGTTGTTTATTCGTCCTGTCGGTGATAGTACTGGACAATTTCCTACAATTTTTATAAACAAGAAATTTAATAGAGCTTTCGAAAATAATTATAGGGCTATTTGGTTATCAATTTCCTTCAGTTTACCTTTTTCAAATAGAATCCAATTTCCTAGTGGATAACAGAACTCTACAAGCGAAGTTAACGAATATTCTGCAACACATTGATATCCTTCGTCACGTGTACACTGTAGTCTTACACTTGCAGCTTCCCATTCTTCTCTGTTACGTGGGCATTGTGTAACAGGTGTTACGTTAAATGGAAAATTCGAAAATTCGAATCCCTTGATAAAAAAAAAACATAACATGTATCATTCGTTGTTAAAAAACATTTGACTGTCATTTCAATTTTAATTGCTATAATTTAAAATAGCCGTGATTTTAAAAAAAATATTTTGATATAACATTTCCTTTAATGAGAAAGTTTCTTTTTTCCTCCTTTAAAAAAGCTACGAGTTATCTAAGTGTTAAGATTATAATCTGTATTATCAGGGACCTGTACTAACTGTTAGTATATAGGTGAATTGTATTACAAACTTCCATAATTGGGACTACAATCGGGGTCGTTTTGCACAAACATAAATCCGAAGCAAGCTTGTATCCTATTAAAAAGTGGGAACTCAGTAGAGGACATGTATTGCTTACGAATACTCTTAGAATGCTTGTTCCAACTATTTTAATCGGAGCATCGTAGACAAAGTAAGATACATGGGCAATTGATTTTCTAAATTTAAGTTCAATAAATTACAATTATTTTATATTCAATACTAAGGGACTTGATGGCTAATATTCTTTAATATTATATAAAGAATGACCTTTATTGTTAATTGTTTCAGAAGAGTGTTTACCTTTGCAAAGATGATTTTAATTTAACTTTTTTAAAAAACAGTGTAAAAAAGCTTGTTATATAAAACATTTTATGAAACATAAAATTTTATCAATATGCTATTTCTTTCCCTTTTCATTCATAATCGCTAATATATCACAGGTGTGGCAAATATTAAATAGATTCAAATATCTATAACAATATATGGGAATTAATTCTTCTATCATAATTGACCACACCCTCGTGTTTCCGCCAATTTAATTAATTGGGAATTCGATCCCGATCAAGCAGAACCCGTTCTGAATACGAGTTCAATCCCAATCTAGTTGACCCAATTCTAAATACAATATATTAAAATGATTACTGCACTTTTACGAGGGCTGTTCAATAAATAATATCCTCGGTACTCGGATTTGAAATGATTTAGTCTGCATGATTGAACTTAGATATTCTCTTTGAATTAAAACACGTGTTTGTAACATTTTCATCCAATATCTAATTGTTTTAGAGCTCATTTTTGAGAATCACCCTTTGAAAAATGGATTAAGGCAGATCCTATGATTTCCTGGACTTGTTTCTTCTTTCTGAATTTTTTTTTTTTCAAATTTGGAAAATGGATCATGTCAAAGGCATATTTTTTGTGACAGAATATTACCTTTCTGTTTATCTCAAAACTCATTTACACTTCATGGCGTGTGGATTTGGACGTTGTCATGAAAAAATTTAATGTAGCTGATTCCTGATTCTAGTTCCTTCATCTCAATAACCTTACGATTTTTTTGCAAAAAAAAAATTGATTTATAGACTCCAGAAATTGAACTGTTTTTCCGTATAAGAATTTGAACAACAAGACCATTAATACAGGGTATTTAAGAAAATGGCATATAAAACTGCATTTGCCTTCTTGTAATTCTTTGCTCTTTTCAGACCTTTGCTGTTTTTGTCAATTGCATCTTATTGTGAAAATACTTTGAGGGTGTTAAAGTAATGGATAAAAGTTTCATTATCTGTTTGGATTTTCGGACAAACATGGACAACTACAATTTATGATTTTTTAAAATAATTGTTTATATCTTTTTCACAATTTCGTTTACACTCATTTTTCAAAACATAGGGTGACCATTGAGTACTTAGCTTTTTTTACTGTCAAATGTTTCTTTAAAATAGTATAAACTACTCCCAAATTGATGCCTATTAAATTTGCTATGTGTTTTTAAGTCAATCAAACATCATAAGTATTAATTTTTTTTAATTTTGGCAATCAGAACATTGGATGATTTAAGTCCGTGTCGCCAAGGACAGTGTCCATTTTTGATGCCCATAATGTCACTATTGATCATTGAGATCAACCTTTTCATGTGGCCATAAAACAGACATTAATTTATTTCACTCTAGTTTACTGATTCTTTACCATTAATTTTAAATGGTGTGTCTCGAATAACCCTTGTTTTAAAATATGAGATAAAAAGTGGTCATTTAAACTGTTATAAATTCATTAAAGATTCAATCATGAGAGAAAGTCAAGCTTTATGTCATATGATATCTGTATTGTATGTCATAGAGTTCAGGACATTAATTATTGAACAGCCCTCGTAATTAAACTTTTTCAAACCAATTTAAAAAACCTTGTACCGGTATACAAAACATTTTATGAAACGTAATATTTTAATTATATGCTATTTCTTGTCCCTTTCAAGCCTAATCTTTGCAAATGTTCACACTCTTAAAATTACTAACTTTAAAGTCCATTCTTTATATGATATTTATAATCAAAGGTGCATGGACACAAAGAGCGATATATGGTAAGTGTCTCAATTGGCCCCTTAAAATAAATAGCTTAATTTGACTTTATATATAGCTTTAATTTGCACAGCTATATATGCGACCTTTATTGGTGATTTCATTTTGATCAAAATGCCGTTATTTTAGAAATATGACATCATAAAAATAACGTCTTCCCGCCATTTTAGCATATTTTGTATGAAACTGCGTATTTTCAAGTAGTTTTTCTTCCAGAAAATATAGAGCGCAGCCTAGAACAAGCTTTATATTTCTACCAAAGATTTATCTATCCAATACTGATTAGTGACAGAAAAATTATGTATGTTCTACACTGCGCTCTATGTTTCCCATAAGAAAAAAACATCAAGAAAAAGGCATATTTTTGGCTTTTTTGTTAGATAGCAAAAATTAGCATTATTTCTCATGTCATTTACAGCTAGAGAGTGCATATAAATGTGAAATATATATATAAATATTTCTAATATAATCTCTTCTTCAAAATAAATATCAATTAAACATATCTGAATGTCATTCTAAAATGTTGATTTTTAGGGGGCCAAAATTGGCTCTTATCATATATACTCCTTTGAAATTAATATTCTCTGTATATTATAACTAATGATTATATTTTAATAGCGTTTCACACAAAAATATAATAATTTTTTTTATTTCATCTAAAAGTTATGAACATTTTAATTTTTAGACGGGTTTGATTGACACATCCATGCACTTTCACAAATTTTAATTTCATTCTTAATATTTAGGTTAAGTTGCAATCTTGTTGTGTATAAATAAAAAAATATTGAATCTATAATACAGAAGTTCAGAGTGGAAATGTTCGAAAGTAAAACAGACGCACAGTATATTGTCAGTCCGTGCTTTAGTGGTGAACAGACTTTAACAATTGAACGCACCAGGTGATTCGTAAACATTAACAATAACAGAGTTCGTGCCTTTTTCACATAGTGTGTACGTTTCACGGGTGTGATCAATTTGCTAAACTCTGTACACAACATTTAGCGCGGAATGACGATACTTGTAAAAGGGGTTTTGCTTTCTAACATTTCTATTCTGAATATAATTGTTTCTCTGGATTAAAGACTTAATATTTCTCGCATAATCACCAGTGTAAGATTGACTTGTCCGGTGTGAGACAGCAGTGTGAGATTTTTCTGTCTTACACTGTGTATTACTACGCCACGAACGAGAACGTAAACATTCCGTCATTATATAAAAAAAATTGTAACAATGTAAAAAAAAATATAACACATAATTAAACTGTTGTCATTTAACTTATTAATATAAACTTATTTTCATTCAAAATATTGTCGTATTTTCACTTTTTTAATGGCACTATTTTTAGATCGCGGAATGATTCTTCTTTTACGCTGTTGGATAGATAAGTTTTTTATTCCCAGTTTTTATCTTTCTGATTAATTTACAAGGACTGAAAATTATTTCATCAGTTTACACGTAGTGTAAACACGTGTAAACCATTTTCAGGTACGTTCTATCCGATGGTGTATTCAGATTTTTAATTAGATGGAAAATTAAAAATATTTTTTAGCCCCATCATGGCGACGTCATTGACAGGATAAAATAATGCGAGAAAAATAATCATTCATTACATACTCGTGTGGGAATAGTGAAATTCCACCTCGGGGCCAAGATTCACGGTCTAGGACTCGGCAAAGCCTCGTCCTAGACTGTGAATCTTGTCCCCTCGGTGGAATTTCACTATCCCATACTCGTAGTAATGAATGATTCTATTAATCTCATTAATATACAACAAGATTGCCACTTTTCCTAAGTATTAAGAAAAAAGGAAAATTGGTGAGAGTACAATGGTGTGTCAATCAAACCCAACCAAAAATTTAATGTTTCAATAACTTTAAGATGAAATAATATTTTAAATATATTTTTGTGTAAAATGCTATTACAATATATAAGTAGTGATATATATTATACAGAAAATACTAACTTCAAATCTAGATCTGTGTCCATGCACCTTTAAACAATGTTAGTTATCAACTCCATAATTATATAATATTAAACAGATATGAAGCCGTATTCACAGAAGGAGATGTACCCGTGCAACAGTGTAGGTTTTGTTAGCTTATTTCTAGATGTCATTTCACCAACTCTTTACGACTTACTGAATTGTTATGCAAAATACACTTTATGTCACGTCACAGAAATATGACGTTATCGTTTCCCCGCAAGCGCTATAGCCTGGTATAAGTTTCTCTAAAGTTAAGCGTAAATAATATAATGACCTAATATTTTAATACGAAAAGAACTTTTCTTAGTTTATGAGATCTAAGCAAGTATAAAATAGAAAGAATTTGGCACTAAACTGAATATAAGATGAACTTTTTAAAGTGCGTGAAAG